TAATGAAACGTGAGGCAGCTTATTCTCTTCTTTTGCAGAACCTGGGGGTGTGGATCTTTCTTCATCTTGTACATTGAGTTTGGAGAGGGTGTTGGGGTCCATGGGGCCAAGGAGGCTTCCGGATGGGAGATGGTTGACATAATCTAACGGGTGATATTTCTTAAACTCGTTTGTTGCGTCCTATTCAGAAAGTCAGTCTTGGTAGTCATGGTGTGATTTACCATATAGCACAGACCGATCCAGCTTGCTTCAATAACATGGCCGCGCCTCCTGGATGTTTTGACAGGAATGAGGTGACATCGTACACGTTGGACTCGAGCACGATCCAGCACGACTCCTTGCTGTTGTGCTTTGCGACTTCTGCGCCATCCATGTTTGCCATCGCGCAGTAAAAGCAAATTCTAGGCTGATGAGAGACGAGATGGAATGGATGCGATGTTGGAATGCGGCCAACCGTTATCGGGCCATTTATTCGAAGGCGAGCGTGGGGTAAGGGATGACGGCGTGGCGGTGAAGCCGGAAGTAGGGGCCTTTTAGCCGAAGATTTATCGCAGAGAAGTCCGATAGATGAGTAATCTCGACCACCACCACCACTCTTGTCTTCTTCTGATGACTGCACTTGCAACGTTACCTTTAATTGGCTCCCCCTCTCTCTTTACGCTTCTCAATATACAACAAACAAACAAACAAAAAACCACGCTCAAAAGGGAAGATTGATTGTAAAGTATATTTTTGTAGATGATTGTTTGTCTATCGAAAATGGTCGTCAAATTGCTATGTACTGCAGGTATCGAAAAGTGAAAAAGAATGGCTCATGCGCAAGTATAGGAATAGACAAGAACGGTGAAAAGGGAAGGAAATGTCTGCTTTGGGTATTGGCGTCAACTCCTTCTTCGCCGTAAATGATTTCGACTTCGAATATTTTACATGTTCGAAGAAATGGCTTGCATGTTACCACGAGGATGTGTGTATGGGCCTCGGCTCGAAGTTGAGCTCCTTCTGGATGGATGCAAACAAGGTCAGGAGCTGGGCGGCTTCTACAGCCCCCCTTTCTTGCCAAAACGTGACCGACGTGGCTTGTTGCATGGCGAGCTCATAGCAAGTGTCGAGCACAGAATTGGTAGGGGCGAGACTCTCTTTGATGCGGACCTTCATACCGATGGCCATGGCCATGAAGACGTGGAACCTGGCCATAGGTATGGAGACGGTTGGGTCGACTGGTGTTGACCCGCGATTGGCAGGATCGGGATACACGGTCTCACAGAATTTGCCGAACACGGAGGGGTTGATAGAATACGCTTTGTACTTCAACGACTCGATATGCTGGACGAATTCGGCCGTCAGAGTCTCGGCTTCGAAGCGGCTGGGGAAGGGAGTGATGGTCATGGCCCGACTTCTATCGGTGAAACTGGATCGTGACATGCCTGGAGGCGGGCTTTCAGTGTGGGCGGCAAATATGCCCTGCCGTGGGAGATGCGGCGTCGGCGCTAGGGGTAGCATATCGACATCGCTTTCGTCGTCCTCGTCGCTTTCCTGGTCGAGCGATGATTCGGATGTTCTTCTTGAAACATTCTGGCTGTTCACATCTTGCGGGGCCAGCTGCCTTGAACCTTCTCCAGCCATGAATTCCCAAGACGGCGCATTGTGCGGTGCGATGGGGGGAGAAAAGGTTTGCGTGCGCGAGGGGGGCGCGAGATTGGGTAATGGTTTCGATTGTTTGGGAGCCGACGTGGGCGGTGGCTGTTCGGGGGACGAGGGCCGCGTAGATGAATCTGACCAAAATGAAGGTACTGGCGAAGACGGCGAAGCACAGAATAGGGCTGGCTCACATTCAGTGATGGCAATCGAGGGCATGCGGCCCGCAGAGAAGCTGCCAAGATCAAGATCGTTTTCGGGGCTATAGGGGGTCGAGAAGTTTGTGTCGAGGGTCAAGGGAGGCGGGCTTTGCCAGTCATAATTTGACGACGACGCTCCTGCCATGACGGTCTGATCGATGGATTCCATGCCATGCATGGGGGTATTTACGTGGGCTGCAAGCTGCGCCTCTAGCTGGTGTATTCGACTTTCCAGCGCTGCTTGGTGTTCTCTGGAGGAGCGAATTAGTGAAATGGTCGCTCACGTGACTGCGCGAAACCGCGATTTTCGGCAGGTGTAGGTGTGTGTGTGTGACTAACGATGCGACTACTTCTCGCGGTTTCTGCGATCTATGGCATGGTAATGAGAAGCGATTACACGTCGCACAGGGAGTATTGCCGTCGCATCGAATCTTGCGCCGCCGACATCGTTCGCAGGCGTTGGAGACGGACTTGCGCCTCGGCTGCCAGTCTGTGACGGAGGAAGGCGAGAACCTCTCTGGCCCCTCGCCTGGCGGCAACGACGAACCTGAAGTTGTTAGCCGTGAGCCACGTACATATACTGACAGTGACATGCTCGACGCACTGAAAGGACACATGAGATGAGAAGAAAAAAACGATGTCGGGGATCCCGCGCCGGAAATTGAGCGATCCGGTGTGTCCTGGGTTCGGATATAGCTTAGACGTTCTGCCAATCTGCACCGGTCAAAAGAGAATATCAAAAACCGGGCGGACGATGAGATTTGTGTTTGTTTTGCAGGCCGAGAACAGCATGGAACTTTGTGAGGATAGAGGCTTGGCTCTTGGCAAGCGGTCGCTTGGACTTGGTGATTTTGTTGCCGCACCCAGGCTCTGCGACACAGACTTCCGACGTTACGAGGCTCACGATGGTCCCTCGATAGCCCTCCGACACGCGCTGCACGAGTTCCAACCGTGGTTTGGTTGTTGAATTGCTCATTGCCTGACTGTTTTTGCCGGGCAATCATGCACATTGCTACCCCCTCGCGTCCACCTCCTCTATCCACCATTTCGACACACGGAGACTTGGCCGCTTCTCCGCCTCTGCGTCGCTCTTACAAGTCTTATCGGGTCGACTTGTCCTCTGCGTCCTGCCATGTGTAATGAACCTCTTCCATGGCCCTTTGAAAAATGCCCATCATTACTTAAATTAGTGTCTTGCAGTGCCTTGCAGTGCCTTGCAGCGCCTTGCAGCAACAACGCACGCTCCTTCATCATGCCCGACACTGTTCCACCACGCCTCACCACGCCTCATCACAACCTCCCCCATATGTAA